AAAGAGATTTTGAATGCCGGAGATTTTATGTTTGATTTTGACTTAAAGTCTGGTTACCATCAAGTGGAAATATTCCTGGAGCACAGGAGTATCTATCATTTGCGTGGACATTTTCCTCAGGACGCACCAGATTTTTCCAGTTTTCTGTCTTCCGTTTGGCCTCAGTTCTGTGCCTTATCTATTCGCTAAATTACTCAAGAAATGGAGATCTGAAGCACAGTCGATCGTGGTTTATTTGAACGATGGTCTTGGAGCCTCTGCGTACAAGAATACGGCAAAAATCGCTAGTTTGCAAGTACACACAGATCTACTTAAATCTGGCTTTCTTCCCAACGAAGCTAAATGCGTTTGGGAGCCCACTCAGGTTATTACTTGGCTCGGAGCCGTTCTCAACACCTCCACTTCTGAAATTTCTACCACTGACAAACGGATTACCAGTTTACAAGAAGACTTAGCGACTCTTTTGGGCATTTCCTTGTCTTGTCATCCAGTTCGTAAGCGTGCCTCTGTTTGTGGAAAAATCATATCTCCTGGCTCCTGTGTTAGTAATGTCTCTAGCCTGATGTCTAGAAATTTATTCGCAGTCATCAATACCACGCTAACCTGGAACTCTTACATTCGTCTTTTGTCTGAAGGTCTGGCTGAGCTGAATTTCTGGAAATCTAATGTGGCAAGTCTTAACGGCATTCCTATTTGCCCTGTCAGGCACAAGCCTTCAAAGATTGTCTATCCTGATGCTTCTGGCTCAGCTTGCGACAGTTTCATCGAGTTCAAGGGGAAGATATTCCATCAAAACAGGTCAGATTTTGAGAAAGCTCAGAGTTCTGCATTCAGAGAGCTGTTAGCCATTTCTTTATCGGTGAAAGCTTTCGTGGAGTCTTTGAAAGCCCAGACAGTCACGTAGTTTACGGATAATCAGAATTTTGTCTGCATTGTTAGTTCCGGGTCTAAGACTCCAGCATTACAGGAGCTTGCAATGGATATCCATTGAAGTTGTTTACTTGATACTATTAGTATCGATATGCAATGGATCCCAAGAGACCTAAATAGTGGGGCAGATGATATAAGCAAATTCATTGATTATGACGACTGCATGATCAACGATACAGTCTGCAATGCTCTTGACGAGTTATGGGGTCCACATACCTGCAATAGGTTTGCTTTTTCCTACAATGCCAAAATCCATTGCTTTAATTCAAGGTTTTACCAGCCTGGCTCAAGTGGAATTAATGTATTTTCTCGGGATTGGTCTCATCATAATAACTGGCTGTGCCCCCTGTGTATTTAACGTGTAAAGTTATTAAGCATATGGAGCTCTACAGTGCTCAAGGAACTCTGATCATTCCCCTTTGGAAGTCAGCCCACTTTTGGCCCATCCTGTGTTCAGATGCTTTCCATTGGAGTACATTTACCATATTTACTTGTGTATAAGTTGACCTTTTATGACCAAAAAATCATCCCAAAAAATCGCCCTCGACTTATACACAAGTCATACACAAAGACCTGACCAAGCAATCCAAGAAATTAGCATAACAATTGCCTGAAGTCTGTTAGGAAAACCGAGTTTACAAAACCAGTTCTAATTGTGCTCGGGTTTTGTCAGTTTTCGGCAAATTTTTTGTCAACAAAAAAGTGTGAAATTATAAATGTTAAGGGGTTTAAACGCAGACCTACTGGAGATGATTTCTATTGTGTCTTTTGATCGGTAGAGCAGACATTTTTTTAAAACTTCGCTGGTGTTTACAGTGTTGAACTTTCGTTTTCATCAAACAATTACAGTAGCTTAGTGACCTGGCAAATGCTGTTGCTCGCATGGTCTTGTTGTTAGCAACCAGGAATGGACCAATTACATTGCAACTACAGGTTAGCAAGAAAACAAACCCTCCTTGTGTTTTAAGTTACATTGTTAACAAGATCTCGACCACGTTACTTCTCAGCTGTTTACGAGTTTACGAAGATGTCTTAAAATGTATGAAATATTCCGCTAAGTTTAAGTTGCAAGTCGTCAAGTTCGCACAGGAGTCAAACAACTGTGCAGCAGGCCATGAATTCTGCGTCAACAAAAAGTTGGTTCACGACTGGCGAAAGCAAGTCGAGAAACTAAAGTGCATGCTGAAGAAGAAATGCAGCAACCGCGGGAAACCGTGCCAGTGGCCTGAGTTAGAAGACAAGCTTCTCCACTGGATTGAAG